TACTCATAGTCGTGCATGCCGTAGTCGTTGGACCATTGACCTCGCATCTCTACAAAGCCGGGACGCAGCACGCCGGGTCTCACCGCATCACCAAGCGCGAAGCGCCGTGAGATATTCGGCGAGTCGCATGAAGGGTGCGCTGCATCCTGCTAAGGGTGTTCGGCATCTTGTGCTTACTTCCTTGCGTACGGATGACAGCTGCGTATGACTTAATTTATTTTCTGGTGCTTTCACTTCCTGAGACAGTTGTAAGCACTGTGTAACTGCCTCGAGGGTGCTTGACCATTTTAACACGACGTGGTGCGATCATCCCCCTTGCGCGAAGTGAGGATTCTCGACCTCGCACAACATGATCTACTCGACCACCATTGTGGTTACTGCCAAAAAAAAAAAGGGGTAAAAAAAAGCGGCCACCTGGTTGCCGAGTTCACGAAGTGAATTGGCTTGTTTTGCAACGTCGTTGCCAAGCGACGACAACCGAATCCCGATGGCAAACACCGAGGGGGGGGCTTGTTTTACAACGTCGTTGCCAAGCGACGAAAACCCAACCCCGATGGCAAACATCGAGGGGGGGTTCTGTTATTCTTCTATCCCGCATATGGTACATCAATTGGGGATTTTGTGTAGTATGCCATAACATGTATATTGTTTCTTGTATACTGCAGTAGGATTGAGTGTTATTGCGGCTGTATACTTAAAACTTATACACCTCTTATATTTGGACTTTATAGTGTGATACAACAGCCCATCCTATTTGGAATATGCAGATTTTTCTATAAGCGCCTGAACCAACTGGGTTAAGCGCCCGAAAGAAAGGGGGAGGGGTAGTAATGCATCAAGCCCTGCGTTTCACGAGCCCCCTTGGCCCCCCCCGGCGGGGTCACCGCGGAGGAAAATTTATCGACGGGGTGCAGCCTCCGAGTTTGCGTGTGTGTGCCCTGTCGTGTAGCTTGCAGGTTTACTTTCCGGTCCGCCCGACCTACACCACCCCACGAAGACCTCGCCCTTCATGTCTGGCCTCCGGCTCTGCTTGCCAAGTCTTCTATTTCAGAACTATTTACATACTCACCACACAACGGTAACCGCCACCTCAAATTTGTTGAATTAACCAGGTGGAGAAGATGTTGACGTCCACGTCGGATCGCGGAGGCCGGAACCTTCTCGCGAAGGCGGTGCACGGCGGGGCGGCACCGGTGGTGTGCGCCCTGGTGGACATCCTGCTTGCCTACAAGCTCGCGCCCGCGCAGGTGAGCAAGGCAACTTAGATTTTTCGTCTGAGTTGATCGTCCGGCGTTGGGCGTGGGCAGGTGCCAATTTACCCAGGGCTAGTCTCATTCCTCGGCAACGCCAAAGCGTTTCCTGCGGAACCTAACCCTGCAACGGGGCGAGGCTGCTCGAGACACTATCGTAACAGGTTGTGCTTCCCTCTCCCCCGCGAAGCTCGTTCCGTTTTCTCGTTTTCGACACACCGTTGTTTTCCGCCGGACTGCTTGTTGTCCTAGGGCAGAGGGTGAAGGTGCTCAGCTCCACCGACTGCAGAAACCAGACTACTTTGATGGTCGCCGCTCAGTCGGGGCAAGCAGAGATTGCGCAAGCGGTGATCAGGCTTGTTGGAGAGGACTGGGTGCCGAACGATGACGAGGTGGGTGCATGCTGACCCCCCGCGTTATTTTCAAATGTTTCGTTGTTCCCGTGTGATGCTCCCAACCGCCCCCCCCTGCTTTTTGCTTCCACGACAGCACCTACCGCAGGGTGGATAAGATATCATACCCCCTGGACCGATTATCAATGCTCGATTAATCCACGACGAAGAAGATGCCGAAATTGAGGTATTCGATTGCGGACACTCTCCACGAGACGGTTCCAACGCCGCCATTTTCGGCACCGTCACTACTTTCCTGCCGAGATATCCAGCTTCGGAAATTGGTCCAGGGAATTTGATACCTTGATGCAGCCTACGGTATACACCCGATGGGTGTAAAAGTGAGAAGACGCTTTTGGCTTCAATGGTTCGTTGTATGCGTAGCAGTGATACCAGTTCACACGAAGCAGTGAAGAGCGCTTTTCGCGTGCCGAAATGGGAGGTGGTTTCATCACTTGTCAGCCGATTTGTGGTCAGATCGTCTCGTGTACCCTTTGTTGCCCGAGCCCCGTTGGGGCCTGTCTTGCCCAGCCTCTCCTGTACCCTTCCTTGCCCAAGCCCTCCTGTACCCTTTTGTTTCGCACGCTGTCTTGTGCCCTTACTTGCCCACTCTCAGCAAATATATATCATCACCCAAGCTCGATCCATGCCATCATCACTGCGCTCAAGTTTTCGTGTGTTCTTTTTTCCAGGAAGCGGAATTTGTAACCAAAACAGACAGCCGGGGTCGGAGCGCCCTCTTTTACGCCGTCCTCAGCGGACACACGGCCGTCGTGGATGCCGTGATTTCCCTCATCGAGCGAGCGGTTCTTCCTGAACAGGCGCGTACATGACGTCCGCACAACATGTAATTTACGTTTCTCCACAACAAACAAATCCAAACCGATACATCCCCTTACAAATGCTTTTCCTTTACTTTGGCAGATACTTGCCGGAGACTACTAGACTATACCACATGTGTACATGGGGAAGAATTTAGTGCGACGGGTCTTCCTCGAACAAGTGTCCAACGTGTGGATTTGCTTGTGTTTCTTGGTCTGCAACTCTTCGATCCCTTACGGTCGCGGTTCGAATCCACTCTCGTTGTTTATTCTGTCAACTTGTCCTCCACTAATTGGGTTAACCACAGTCACAAGTGGTCAGCCTTCGCCGTCGGCCGACAAGCCTCTGATCTTTTTGCGACGATGTTGGAGCACCGTTTGCACCCATTGTGGTTACTCTGGCCTTCTGTTTTTTCCGCCACCAGCCGTTCTACTCTCCTGACCGGTCCAAAACAACAGGTCAATCCGATCATCGACGACTGCCTCCCTTTGGCGATGTCCGAGGTGCTCATGTCCAACAGCCAGGTCCCAGGGAACGAGGCCGTCTCGGTGTTTTCGTGCCTTATCAAGCACGGCGCCGCACCCACGCCAAGGCAGGTGTCACTCGTGGGGAGAAAAGCGGGCTTCGAGGCGGCGAGGAAGTGCTTCCTCGATGCCGTGTGCTCCGCCGTGAACCCCTTGCTGGTCGGGATGCGGCTGTCTCTGCTGCTCGCGGATGCTGCAGGGATGGGCAATGAGGGGCAGCGGCAGGTGCGTTTGTTTGGTGGTGTTTCGCTGCTGCTGCGTTATATGCTTCTTTCTTAGTGACTGAAACGTTGCCTTTGGTGTGCGAGAGCCTGTGGTTCATTCCTCGCCGACAGGTCCAGTTTGGGGAGCGACATCTTCAATGAGTCACAAGCGACCCAATGGCGACGTTCGGGAGAAACAAGTTTAGCCCAGAATCACCGTTATGTTTCGCTTTCATGATCGCAAGTGGCTCCGAGTGCAAAGAGTGTACAAAAAGAATAACGGGACGAACACTTTACACACATCCAAAGTAGGCCCGGGTAACTTCTTTTCTGTGCGTGTTGCAGGTACCTCCTGGGACTGCCTCCTTCCCACCTCTTATGCGTGTGGCTCACCGAAGTTTCGGTACAGCAAACAGCGTGGCCTATTTCATGCCCCCAAGCAATTACATGTAGTGAATTCGGGTCAGCCTTCAATCGAGTACGAGTACGTTCATGTACGCGGAAAGTCGTCCTCCACTGTACACCATTTCAATGACCCCGCTTCATATAACATGTTAATTAATACCTCTTGTGGTTGGTGAGCACGAAATGTGGCAGGAAATCCACCGTTAAACAGCACAAAATAATATCGCCGGAACCCCGCCTTGCAGAGCAATATAACGCTATTTGGTCGATATCAACGCTGCTCTCAAGGTAGTGTTCGCGGAGAATGTCGTGCACACCAACAGGCGGCATCCTTCGGTTTTGTTGAATTGCAAGTCCATCGGCCCTAAAACGGTATTCACCGTTCCGCGTACATATGAACTCACGTTCACACGATTAAGAGGCTGTTAACTATCAACCCTGTACTATGTCCGGGCGGTACTTGGTCCAAGAGCCGGCGGCCCACGTGATCCACAAAGATTCCACCAAACGGAGCACACCCGTGCACGTGTCTCATTTGTTTTTCGTACTTTCATCTGTGGGTCTTTCAACTCATCAGGTGGCACTTGATCTACCTCGATCTCACCGAACGTTTGACGCGACTCTAAGTCTCTCATTTTTGATTGCGTGTTTGCATTCCCGTCAGGTGGCTCTCCGCCTGCAGAATGAAGTCGAAGACCTCGTCCTTGAAGTGTTCGAGAGGTTGCCGCAGACCGTGGATGGCTTTCGAGAGGGAGACGTCGGCGGCAGCGGCATGGATGTGAGCAGTTTGTTTTTCTGCAGCCCGGCTAGTGGGACACCAGGTCGTAAGTCAGTTCAGGGGCGTCATTGCGCCTACATCACCACCCGGGAGTTGTACATTCCTAACACATCGAAGCCCGTAACCTTTCGCAGCCCGCGTGCTTCATGGCCGAAAGCCGTGCTTGGCATAGGCCCATAAGGACGGGGCGGAGTGAGGGTGTCCGAGTTAGAGACCATTCTGAGAAATTCCTGTGTATATCCAGTACTAGCCCTTCCGTACTCTGTATCTCCGAGGCCAATAAAGGGGGTTCCGTGAGGTCATTTTCGTCCCGTACAACGTACCGGTCGCCCCTGTGGTCTAGTGGTGTCCTCGTTAACCGCTAGTCACTGAGGTCGTGAGTTCGAATGCCCACGGGGTGAAAAAATCACAAAAATTGCGGGTGAAAGCGAACTATAGCTGAAAAGCTGTCGTGAGTACCAAACTTCGACATTGGCACTGTTGACGAGGGAAAGGGACGGCTGGACCCTTCTCGCGTAAAAATTAAGTTCAGCATGCACCGCAGGAGGAAGGTGGGGCATGAAAATAAATAAAAAGAAGAAAAAAGCCCTGCTGTTTACCCCTCCTGTGTGACCCTAGATGGTTGTAGCTGTACGAGAAAATATACTGAAAAGTGTAGTACTCTGCATACGCTGAAAAGTGTAGTACACGTCTAACTACGAACAATGGGGGGACTGTCGCCATGATATATTGGACGAAAACACACACCCACACAACGAGCTGCCCTCCTGATATATTTGGCCCCTGGAACTCCGGCGCGACTGCTGTGTCTCTGGCTGCTACTTCATGCAGCAGCAAAGGTTCGTCCCGCCCCGACAACCGTTGTCTCGACTCGCAGTAGAACGCATGATCGCACATTCCGAGCTGCTACATTGGCTAATTCCGCTTTGCCCAACTGCCGCGTACCAAAGATACTGCCTCCCTTGCAAGACTGCGTGAACTCCAGCTCGAGTTTCCTCTTACTTGCCCAGACGCTCGTTGATTGTTGTCTGTTTGCCGCTTTTTCGACCCTCCGGCTGCTGTATCGGCCACCTTTGTGCTTTTTTTTCGCTGGCGAGCTGCTTCTGCAGATTGTTTGCTTCACTGCCCCTCCCAAGGCTCCGTCGTGCTCTGGTTGTATCCAAGCTGCCCCCTGCTGCTCGGTTCCGATATTCATGCCGGGACATTGTATCAATTTGTGCTCTACCCATATTTCCGCTACATCATGCCGCGACGTGTTCTTGTGAAGGCAGAATAGTACAACGCACGACATAACAGAGAGTTTACCCCCGATATTGTTGGTGTTGACCCGTAGAAGAGAAAACTACGGGGGAAATGTCTCGTGATATTGATATGTGCCTGTACAGTGTTTTTGTGATGTGCCTGCTGGCATCACTTTTTTTTTTTTTCAGTGTATAGGCATAAATAGAATCGAAATAAGCCGAGAGTACCCGGTCGGGTTCCCTCCATCCACTGTATAGACTCCAACACATCCCGTCCGACTGTGATTATACCTCGAACGGGTAGTCTTTCTGTGTTTGCTTTTATGTTTCCTAGTGATTTCGCAACCGATGTGGAAATCCAGGTCTTGCATTCTTTTGTCGGAGTGATCGTAAGATAATTTCTCAGCATGATTCACTGGGAAACGGGTTTGTTGTGTGAAATCAGTCTAAGTGGAAGGGTGCCATCGTCATGTGAATTCGTGGTCCCTGTTCTCATTACTTCCATGATAATGGTTGGCTTCTTCGGGCAAACGAATCATCTCCCGTAGCACGAATTACCCTCCACAGGCGGTTGGTTGCCCACGAGCAACATTTTTTTGTTTCTCGATCTAGCCTGCCATGCCAGGCAGCTCGAGCGAACCCGATCCACTGAATCTCTGAAAGCAGCACCCCCTACTCGGACAACCCCAGGCTCGTGTGTCTGGCAACAACCACAACTATTGTTTACCCCCCGGTGGTGTCGCTGCCAACGATCATCCCCAGGCATGCAGCGTCGTTTTCGCCCCAGAGAAGATACGGCCACGTGACGAAACCATCCCGTCCCACTTATTCCAAGACGGCACCGGCGGAACCCGAGTGGACTCCGGGCCGCTGGAAATGGCGTTGCAGGCCCGCCACCAGCTTGAGCTGTTCTGCACCCAACCGCTGGTTCTCGATTACCTAAACCGCGCATTCACGCGAGGGCTACCGGGTCTCGACGCGTCGGAGACCGGGGCTCAGGAGGCCGACCAATTCAAGCTTCTCATGCAGCGGAACGCGTCCGTTCAAGTCAACGCCGGCGACGGTGAGAGCTCGGGAGAGGTATCGCGGGAACTGCTGGAGGTGCTCGAGGGGTCCCACTCGGTGTTAGGGAGCCTGACACTGTCCGCGGGGAAGCAGTTCATCCTGGCGCAGGTCGTGGCGCGGCCGGCGTTCAGCTACTCGGTACCCGCCGTGAGGATGGCGGTCGACCTCCTGGTGTACCTCCTCATGCTCGCGCTCTTCGCTAAGGACGTCCTCTGGTACAAAGAGGGTACCGTCGAGGTCGGCGAGGTAGTGTTCTTCGTATACGTACTGGGCGCGATCCTGGTCGAGATCACCGAGCTGTGGGACGGGAGGGAGGAGTACATGAAGGACCATTGGAACGCTCTGGACGTGGCCGCCTTGGCGTTCTGTGGGGGCGCGTTCCTTGTGCGGGTGTACGACCCGGAGAGCCTGTGGGGGAGAGCCCTGTACTGTGCTGGTAAGGGCGCCATTGATACCGTGCTTGCTGCTCGTTCGGCGCTCTATTTTTCCGGTTTCCCTCGGATGAAAGGGCTTGTGTGCCCGCGAAGAAGTGAGACCGCCGTCAAGCTCCTGCCATGACCATCACGCTGGCATGTCCAAACGTGCTTCCTGTCGAAAGGATTGCATGGCTCCGTTTTCCCATGGTGCGCCGTTGTATGACAGGAAATGGCCTCATGTTGCACGTTTTGCATTGCTTTTGCATACTGCTGCTGCAGTTGTTTTTGGTAGCACATTTCACTGTCTGTCCCCCGTGTTGCCCTTCGCTTGCTCGTTTGATTTCGCCGCACTTTTTCAGGTGCGCCGCTCCTGCTATTTCGCACACTCTTTTTCGCGCAGTTCATGCCGGCGCAGGGACCAATGATCGAGGTGAAGGAAGCACGAGGGTACCCATCATTTTTACGGGATTTAGGTTTGTCCCTGGTGGCCAAAAAAGCACGGGTGGTTTGCCACATGACATGTTGGCGCTGCGGTGTTGTCGCGTTTGCTCACAATGATGGTAGCGACTCGGGCCAAGCTTCATATCCTGTTGACGATTCGTTCTCGCCGTTGGGAATACCGTTTTTCGCAGATCATCTTCAGCCTGGCGGGCGAGCTGCTGAGGTTTTGCACCATCCTGCTGGTGACAATGATGGGCTTCGCAATGAGCTTTTTCGCTCTCTTCCGGCATTCCTGCACAGTCGGCTCATTTCAAACGTATTGGTCGACGTCCATCGCGCTGCTACGGGCAATGCTGGGGGAGACTAAACTGGTGAACGGTTGACGTAGAACCACTACCGCAAATATTTCTCCCAATGAGACGGTCGTGTAATATTTGGAGTTGTTGGTTGGCACACTCGTTTGGATTGCAACAAACTAGGGAGGGCCTGTGCTTTCGTTGTACACAACACGACCAAGCCTGAGGCCTGATGAATGATTCATGGCGAATCTACCCGACTAAGGTTGAGTGAAGATCTCTACAGACTTCGACTTTCACCGTTAGGGGAATTTCGCAAGACCAATCACAACATACCGCAGGAAAAAGGTGTAAATGGGACATAAACCTCTCATATGAAGCGTGTAAGCTGGAATGCCAATGTTCATGTTTCGATAATAAGCCTCATGTCTCGCACACGGTTTTTCTTTCTTCAGTACGATGACTTTACCGTAGCCGCGGAGTGCTGCTATGATGCCGTTGAGCCATCGGACGAGTTCCACTGCGAAGACTTCCTGATGGAATGCTGTCACAGCGTGGAATCTGAGCACTTCAACGGCCTCGTCGGAAAGGCTTTGCTGGCCGCCTACAATGTGGTGAGCTACTGTAGCCACGGAGCACATCGTTCCTGCTCGTATGGAAGTGTTCGCCATGAAAGCGGAGCCCGATTCGGTATCATAGCCAACCGCACGCACTCCGGTGCCTATGCTAGAGGAACAACGAACTCTCCACCACCTGGTTGGGTCGTGCGGTGCGTTGTGACATCATCGTTGCGATGCTTCGTCACTTCTCCTACAACATTGGTTGCGCCACCCCCCCTCCCAGGTGATGGGAATCATTCTGCTCAATCTGCTCATCGCCGTTCTCTCCGAAGCGTACGTGGACGTCAAGGAGAACATCGACACTGAGTCCAAGGTGACGAGAACCCTGGTGATTCGGCACTACATGAAAGCTGTCGATCAGGACATGCTTCCGCCCCCTCTGAACCTGATCCAGCACGCCGTGTCGACGCTGGCGATGCTCTTCGGCTCCCTCATGGGTAAGACGGGGGTCTTCCGGAAAGCGGAGTTCTACTCGGGACTAGTGCTGTTCTGGTTCGTGTCCGGCCTTTTCGCAGTGCTCGCCGGATCGATACTGTGGGCCATCTCCTGGCCGAGAGGGGTATTCATGTTCTTCCTGCGACGGTCATCACACAGCGGTAGGGTCTCGGGGAGCGCTCAGCTGGTCGCTCTCTTCTGCGGCGTGGCAATGCCGCTGTTGATGCTGTACAAGTGGCTGTGGACGTCGACGTGCGGAGCACTGTGGCGGCATCTGGTGGATGGCGGCGCTTGGTCGAACGACGGCGGGGCCAGTGCGGGCTACGACGAGATCCGAAGCGATGGTAGCAGAAGACCCCGGCCGCACGACGACGGTATCATCGGGAAGACACTGGAGCGTTACGGCGGCACGGCGGGACAGGGGGGCGCTCTCAACGTGCACCAGCTTCGAGAGTTCTTGGCGAACCCGATGAAGGACCCCGTGGTCCAGCGGGACGAGGAGACGAGGGAGACCACAGTAGAGCACGTAAAGCTGTTGAGAGACAACCTCACGGATATGGTCGGCGAGAGGGTGGGCGAGCTCGATGCAGCCGCGACGGCGAGGTTTCAGAGCTTGGAGACCAGTATGGACGGCCGCGTGGACGCGCTGTCGGAGAAGGTGGACAGAGTTGATGAAAAGCTGGCGGAAATCTTGCGTAAGTTGGATGGTGCCACCTGAAGCAGCTTTCAAAGGACCTCGTTTTTGGTCGGGAACCTCGTTCATTTGGTTTTGCGTTGGGATGTAGCATTGACGCACGTGCAATATGTCGTGGCGGTTTCCAGTTCTACGAGAGTTTGTGCTGTTTGGGAGCAATTGATGCGTATTTCCACACGCGAACGTTGCTTGGCTGTACTGCTGAATGGGATATTGGGTGGGAATTGTGACGTTGTAAGCATTGTATCGGCTTTCACGTGTTTCTGTTTGTGCACTCCCGAGTGCTTTCCCGGTGGTTTCCTAGAACCGCCATCCCATGTGCCGTTCTCCATAGTGTACCAAGTAGGTGCGGTGGGAAGCATTCTCCCGTTACCTGAACCATTGGATAATTCGGCTTGGTCGTCACGACTCCACCTTGGGTTGGGTTCAGGACCTTTCATTGCATTTTTTTTTTTTTTGAGTTTGCAGCAGAGGCAGTCGTCACCCATCAATCCACACGTGCGTATTCCTTTCATGTTTTCTACTACGGAGTACGATGTATACAAACTTCGAAAATTTACGATATTTGCAGCATGCATGCGTCGCCAGAGTACACTCGAGATGGGAACCCATGGCTAGATGCAACGTCGGCGGCGGGGTGAATCGTCAACGCTCAGTATTTATTACCGTTGAATTTTTACAGGGTGCCGATCAGAGGTCTGTCACGAAGGCACGATCTGGCAGGTGTGGCAGCCTCTGATAGAGCATAGTCCTTAACGCATGTAGAGATGTTTTTTTCCGCGGAATCTCGTTCTGTTGGAACGATAGGTGACAAAGATTGCGGACATTAAAGCGCCATTGAACGTGACGATTGGACGCCTCTGCAGATCGTGTACACGACCGTGTTGTTCGGGACGTCGCGACTAAGTTTGTTTGTGTGCACCCACACAGCTGCGCTTCATACTACTGCTCTGTGGCGGAGCGTGGGAGCGGGCTTCATGAGATCTATCGTAGACGGGGACCATTGAGGGAAATGCGCTCATTCTCTATCCGGGCGTTGCTTGGAAGAGGCCAACTCCGATAGTGTGATGACGCCGGTGCGAGAACTCCAGCCTCCCTCGGGTGATGAGTCTGCTCGTCCGCTTTTTCCCTCTGTCGGGCAGTCCTAGCTGATGACTCATTCCATCAAGCGGTTCTCCGATGTTTGGGCGCAGGTGTCGCCCTTTTTCCCGAGCTGAACAACCTTCGGTGGAAAGGAGGCGGAGGCCACCACGAGAGCTACACACACTAAACTGGCGTGGCCGATTCTAACTTAAGACACACGTTGTCGTCGGCACCAATTTCCCGAATTTTGAGACGCAAGAAATTGACAAGAGTGTTTGACAAACTATACCTCGCTTTGCGTCCTTCGGCGACACAGATTCGGTATGTATCCGTGTAGGAATTGTTTCCGATCTCTCGTTCCGATCTCTGCTCAAAAGTGCCTCGTTCAACATCCGATCCGTACTCGTCCAGTAGACTTATAATTCGTGGACGCCTTCCCTAGTCACAGGCAACACTGCCCCAACAAGATGTCTGTGCATTCAAGTTGAAATCAAAGCGAAGATCGACGCTTGCTCTCCCAAATGTGTTACTGTAGGCCCTCAAAAGATTGTCCATCACAGGTGACGCATGCAAATGGGCACACCACGTTTCTGGGTGATCTCATCTAGGAGTATTTGGCTGTGTTCGTGCGTACCAAGATTTCTGTGGGCGTAGATCAGCAAGCACTCGGCAGTGGAAGGATTTCCTCGCCACAAGAAGTAGTGCATACGCAGGGGCGTGGAGGGGGAAACAACGATGTGTTTTGTTCGCTCGGTGCCGGTCGTAGACAGCTTTTCGGGAAGATAAATGATTCACTCCTTTGCGCATAACCGCTCTCGAAAGGAGCTCGTGAGCCTGATAACGAAGTACACGCGCCGACACCCAACCACGGTAATAATATCGGTTGGACGAGACCCCGAGTGACCGGCGTCACCTTGGCTCTTGGCGTGCGGTAGCCCAGTTTAACCTCCGTCGCCGCCGTCAAGGTAACCGCTCCTGTTGTCCCGGCTCTCCCATCAACGATGCCGCCGCTCCGTCCGCGAGCGTGTGTGTCCCGGCCGGCCGCTGCCGTTGGGAAAACATGACTGCTCGCGGTCCCGCCTCTCGCCGCCGGTGCTGCTGCGGGCTGCCGCTCCTCGCGAGGGTGCCTGCTCCCCGGCCGTCTGCCCCCCCGCCGCGGCGGGGAAAACCCTGCGGCCAGGGGTCGCCATTCTCGCCGCCTGTGCTGATACCGATGGTACCCGCTCTAGCCGCGAGTTCTTGCACCCCGGTCGTCCCCCCGGCCAGCGCCGCGGGAAAAATATGACTGCCAGTGGTCCCCCCCTCTCGCCGCCGGTGTTTCTATCGATCTTGTACAGCATGATCTACTCGACCACCATTATGGTTACCGCCAAAAAAAAACGGAGGTAATAAAATAAACGTAACCTGGTTGCCGAGTTCACGAAGTGAATTGGCTTGTTTTACAACGTCGTTGCCAAGCGACGAAAATCCTACCCGATGGTAAACACCGAGACCACCCGCGGNTTCCTTTCTACTTGCCAAAGGTGGCTCAAAAATGTCTTCCCTAGTCTGTCCATCCTAACGGTATCCCTTCCAGCCTTTTCAACCCACCTCCTATGCCCCACTACAGCTACCGTCCTTTCCTCTCTATTCCATGCCTCAAACATCTCCCTGTACGTTCCATCTATTTTTCCCAGCTCAGTCACGTACACTTCCCTCTCCTTCTTGTACAACGGACATTCCGCGACTACNGTACAACGGACATTCCGCGACTACATGAACACGGTCTTCGCATTCGAAGCCGCAATCACATTTGAACTCGTCGTCTTCCTCGTCTACCGTCCTATGTCTTCGTCGACGTTCTCGAAGGCCTATGTCCCCGGTCCTGAATTTGACCTTAGCTTTGTTCCTGCATCCATTGGTCCCATGT